AAAATTTGCAGGGGAATCCCTAAAAATTTACGGGGGACAAACCTACACATTTTTAAGCGGGTTTTTATAAAACCTTTCGGGGAAGGAACCCAAAAAAACCTAGGGGCGGGCCCAACTAAAACCCCCTGAAACCCCACAAATATGGTCACACAATCAACCATACACCACCACACCCCTTTAAACCACTATTTATCCAGCCGGGGCCATCTATTTTTAACACACACTATCGCACCTGGCATATCTCCCTTCAACACCCCATATCGCAGGGGGGATTTCTCCTTTCAACCCCTATTATCGCAGCCGGGCACTACTATTTTAACACACTACTATCGCAGCCTGGCACTATCTCCTTAACACACTTTATCGAAGCCGGCACTATTACCTTTTAACACACAAAATGAAGCCGGCACTATCACCTTCAAACATAATATCGCACCCTGGTTTCTACCTTAACACCATTATCGCAGCCTGGCACAAATCTCCCTTAAACACCAATAATATCGCACCCCTGGACTATCTCCTTCAACCACATCTATCGCAGCCTGGACTATCACCTTCAACACATAATATCGAAGCCTGGACTATCTACCTTAACACACAAACTACGCAGCCGGGGCATTTCTCCCCTTCAACACACTTTTCGCAGCCGGCACTATCTCCCTTTTAACACACTATTATCGACCCGGGCACTATCTCCCTTTCAACACACTATCTATCGCACCCTGGCCTACTCCCTTCAACCCCACTTCTATCGCAAACCGGCCTACTCCCCTTCAAACACAAACTATCGCAGCCTGGCATATCTCCCTTTTAACCATATCATCGCAGCCTGGCACATCTACCTTTCAAACACACTACTATCGCACCCCTGGCTATCTACCTTCCACACTATCTATCGCAGCGGGCACATCACCTTCAACACACTATCTATCGCAGCTGGCACTATCTACCTTTAAAAAACACTATCTATCGCACCCCTCCTATCTACCTTCAACCACTATCTATCCAGCCTGGCACTTTACCTTAACACATATCAAATCGCAGCCTGCCTTTTACCTTCAACACACTATTATCGCAGCCTGCACATCTCCTTTCAACACACTATCTTTCGCACCCCTGGCACATCTCCTTCAACCCACTACATCGCAGCCTGGCAATTCCTTAAACACACTACTATCGCAGCCTGGACTATCTACCTTAACCACTATCTACGCCCCTGGCACTATCTCCCTTTCAACACATACACGCAGCCTGGTACTATCTCCCTTCAACACACTATCTATCGCAGCCGGGGACTATCTACCTTAAAACCCACTAATATCGCAGCGGGACTATCTACCTTCAACACACATTATCGACCTGGCCTATCTACCTTCAACACACTATCTATGCAGCCGGCAAACTACCTTAAACACACTAACTATCGAGCCTGGCACTATCTACCTTCAACACACAAATTTCGAGCCGGGGCCAAAACTACCTTCAACCACTACTATCCAGCCTGGACACTACCTTCAACCACAAACTTCGCCCCCTGGCACTTCCCTTCAACACCTATCTATCGCGCCGGGCCCAATTACCTTCAACACACTATCTATCGCAGCCTGGCACTATCTACCTTCAACACACTATCTATCGCAGCCTGGCACTATCTACCTTCAACACACTATCTATCGCAGCCTGGCACTATCTACCTTCAACACACTATCTATCGCAGCCTGGCACTATCTACCTTCAACACACTATCTATCGCACCTGGCACATTCCTTAAAACACATATTAAATCGCAGCCGGGCACATCCCCTTAAACACACTATCTATCGCAGCCGGGCATATCTCCTTTAAACACACTTTTCGCAGCCGGGCATTCTACCTTCAACACACTATCTTCCACCCTGGAAATTTCTACCTTAAACACACAACTATCGCAGCGGCACTATTAACCTTAAACACAGCCACATACTCGACCCCAAAAACTAAAAAAACTACTTTTAAATTTTCAAAGCCTTACACAATTTTTCCCAAAAAAAATTGATGAAATTTACCTTAAGAATCCTACAAATCAAAATTTTTATTATTTTTATTTATTATTTTATTAAATTTTTATTTATTATTTTATTTTTTTTAAATTTTTATTTTTTATTAATAATTTCATGGGAAGTGGTAATAGGTGCACAGCAGCGCCTAAAATGAAAGTCAGTGAGGTTTCGTCCAAGGAATGGGAGGGATGAGATGGGTGGGAAGAAGAGGAAACACATCCTGTAAATAAAAACAACTGGGATGAACGAAAGGATCATAAGTAAAGAAGGAATGGCTTCACTGGAAGGCAAATACTTATACAGCTTCAAAACTACGTATGAGAGCCTCTCGTGAAACAGGAAATAAATCACGTAGTCGGGGCCCAAGAGCTACGGATTAACCCCCGCAGACACGGCTGGATCATTACAAACACCACACACACACACACAACACACACACACACACACACACACACACACACACACACACACACACACACACACACACACACACACACACACACACACACGCACATACACACACATACACGGACTGTAAGAAGGCTTTTGACAGAGTTCCACACAAGAGATTAGTGGAAAAGCTGGAGGACCAGGCAGGTATAACAGGAAAGCTACTACAATGGATCAGAGAATGCCTGACGGGAAGACGTCAGCGAGTCATGGTACGTGAAGAGATGTCAAAGCGGGCGCCTGTGACGAGCGGGGTTCCACAGGGGTCAGTTCAATGACCGGTGCTGTAACTGGTATATGTGAATGACATGACGGAAGGAATAGACTCAGAAGTGTTCCTGTTTGCAGACGATGTGAAGGTAATGATGAGAATTCAGCCGAAGATACGGCAGGAATATAGAGTGATCTGGACAGGCTACAGGCCTGGTCCAGCAACTTCCTCTTGGAGTTCAACCCCACCAAGTGCAAAATCTTGAAGATTGGGGAAGGACAAAGAAGACATTAGATAGAGTACAGTCTCGGGGGCCAAAGACTACAAACCTTGGAGTGTGTATATTACCGAGCACATCTCCTAAGGCGCACATCAACCAAATAACTGCTGCAGCATATGGGCGACTAGCGAACCCAAGAATAGCATTCCGATATCTCAGTAAGGAGCCATTCCTGACCCCTGTACACCGTTTACGTCAGGCCAATATTGGATTATTATTATAATCAAGGGGGAAGCGCTAAACCCGGAGGATTATACAGCGCCTGGGGGGGATGTGGAAGGCATTCAGGCTTCATTCGGGGAACTGGAGCACAGATCCAATTCCCTAAATCAAGAGCCCCTCACCAACATCAAGGAACCTTCCTTGAGGGGAGGCCAATATTGGAGCATGCAGCACCAGTTTGGAACCCACACCTAGCCAAGCACGTCAGGAAATTAGAGACAGTACAAATGTTTGCAATAAGACTAGTCCCGGAGTTAAGGGGCATGTCCTACGAAGTGAGGTTAAGGGAACTTGACCTGACGACACTGGAGGACAGGAAAGGAACGGGGGGACATGATGACGACATATAAAATGCTGAGAGGAACTGACTTGGTGGACAGAGACAAGATGTTCCAGAGATGGGACACAGAAACAAGGGGTCACAATTGGAAGTTGAAGACTCAGATGAATCACAGGGATGTAGCAAATATTTCTTCAGTCACAGAGTCGTCAGGAAATGGAATAATCTGGAAAGTAAGGTAGTGAAGGTAGATACCATACATAGCTTTAAGAAGAGGTATCATAAAGCCCATGGAGCAGGGAGAGGGACTTAGTATCGACCAGTAAAGAGGCGGGGCCAGGAGCTATGACTCGACACCTGCAACCACAATTAGGTGAGTACACACACACAAAAAATACGAGGCCAAAACAAATAGGAAAACAAACACGTCAATAAAAAATACCTTGCCCGAACAGTGAATTAACAAAACATTTCGTTCACTTTCCAAATGTCATGGTACATTGGTGCGGTAGGTGCAGCGCTGAACACCGTGTTCACATTGTTCACCTGGCTGTTGTTAGGTGCAGCGCTGAACACCGTGTTCACATTGTTCACCTGGCTGTTGTTAGGTGCAGCGCTGAACACCGTGTTCACATTGTTCACCTGGCTGTTGTTAGGTGCAGCGCTGAACACCGTGTTCACATTGTTCACCTGGCTGTTGTTAGGTGCAGCGCTGAACACCGTGTTCACAGTGTTCACCTGGCTATTGTTATGTACTTTTGCTACACTCCATTACCATTGTGTACACTAATTTCGAAAGAAAAATATATGTATATGATTTTAATTATTGTCTGCAGTGGCGCACGCCTGATGGCTGTGGAAACTAATTAACGCGTTCTTTCACAACGAAAGTGCAAGACTGGCACAATATTGTAACTTTTACACAGTCCATGTTGAGAGGCACAGTGACGTATTTGAATGTGTTTCACGTGAAATCTGTTACCACAAACTGACCTGGCAAGAACATGGTTGAGCAAATGTTGAAGTAGAGTCACGCGAGGGAGTGAGCTGTATGGTTGATGGTAGCCGGTGTTGACCAACAAGACACACGGTGTCACACACTCCTTGATGGGATCTGAAAGGTTCGTATCCACACAGGTATTCCGTTTACAAATAACCCGCAACTGGACCGAAACATCGTCATAGGTTTCTTTCTCCTTTGTTCGGGTTATTTGTGTATTGTTCCAGTCACGGTATTGTGCCTTTTTGTTCTGCTGGTGTTCCTTGACAAGCAGGTATTCCTGGACCAGGCAGGTGGGTCCTTCTATCAGTCGAGAGACAAATCGTCTCGAAACAACAGAGATGTTTCTAGAGAGATAGAGAGATTTTAAACCTTGTCACCAGCGCCCACTACCTCCGTGGCCTGCCGCCACTGCTTTCGTTCAATGAACCACACGGGTTTAGCTCCTTAACCGGCAGTGCCCAGTGCCTACCTGGATGTTCATTCGCATTGTGCAGTGCCCAGTATCCAGTACCTACCTGGATGTTGTCCTGGTGGATGAGTCTGGGTCTGGCGTGTAAAAAGTGAGGGTAGATGGGCCACGTCGGCTGCTTCTCCACGGGACTCTTGGGCCGTTCATTGCGACCCTCTGAAACGTTCGCATATGGGTCGTTAGAGGGGTTAGATAAGTAGTTAGTGGGTAGACAGAGGGGTAGTTGTGACTTAGCTAGTAGTTTAGTTGAGCAGAGTACGCTAGCCTCACCGTAATCCAGTGCTATCCAACATACATGTACAAGCAACCCCTGTTAGTGTACGCAGCCTCAGCAGGAGGTACGTGAACGCTCACTCGGATAAACAAATCACTTCCTACTATCCTAGGGTAAGCGAGTGCTTGACTAACCCTAATTAAAAAATAAATTAAATATCGATAAATCGTGGAATACATCATGAATCAAGGACGAGGAAGAATGATAAACCAAGTTCACTTTGTATCCGGTGACCTAGAGACCCGCACCTTGCTACTTCAACTTACTCGTCAGTAAAATGCAAATCCAGAACTCTCACTGATTTTTTTCCCTCCTCGCTAAGATTACGTAATTCATAGCTGTATAGCCCTTGTGGCTTAGCGCTTCTTTTTGATTATAATAATAATACTTAATTCATATGTTTTTTTTTTTAACTTCAGCCAAATGGAGGATTTATTTTTGTGCACCTCTGAATATATAATTATTTTTCCTTATTACCTGAGTTCTTTGGATCTACAAATCTACGATAAAGTGATGATTCTATACCAAATCTGAGGGCTCTACATCAAGTCTGAAAGCTCTAAATCAAGTCTGAAAGATCTACATCAAGTCTGAAAGCTCTACATCAAGTCTGAAAGCTCTACATCAAGTCTGAAAGCTCTACATCAAGTCTGAAAGCTCTACATCGAATCTGAAACTTCTACATCAAATCTGAAAGCTCTACATCAAATTGGAAAATTTTGCATCAAATCTGAAAGCTCTACAGCGTCTAAAAGCTCTACATCAAGTCTGGAGGCTCTACAAGAGGAATGATAGGAATGATATTATTTTTAAAAGACTTAGAGGCTACTGAGGAAACTGCCTGAGGATCCCACATTACTTCAGAATGTTGTTAAGAGATTTATTCTTAATCCTTTCTTCGTTAATTACTTCTTCAGGAGAAAATACTTCTTGAAGGAGGAGGAGGAGGAGGGGGAGGAGGAAGAAGAAGAAGAAGAAGAAGAGGAGGAGGAGGAGGATGAGGAGGAGGAGGAGGAGGAGGAGGAGGAGGCAGTAAATGTTTAAGGAAGAAGCTAATGTTTGCGAAGAGAAAGCAGAGGAGGATGAGGAGGAAGCCGTGAAAATCCATAGAAGAATAAAGGAGAAGAAGAGGGAGGGAAGAGGAATAGAAGAGAAGAGGTAATGAGAGAATGATGTTGACTATATGGTCAGTCTCAGGTTACTAAGTGACGTATGTAAGGAGAGAGAAAGAGAGAGAGTGAGAGAGAGAGAGCGAGAGAGAGAGAGAGAGAGAGAGAGAGAGAGAGAGAGAGAGAGAGAGAGAGAGAGAGAGAGAGAGAGAGAGAGATAATCTCATCACACCTACCATAGCCAGTAGCAGCAGCAGTAGTAGCAGCATCACGGGAGTTGGGAGGAGACGAGCCATCAATCACAATCTTCCACTTGGCACCCTCGCTGGCACTGCGGTAGATGGCCCTCGGCTGGTCCAGGTGCAAC